GTCCAAACCCTGAGTATGTACTATCCAAAACGTGTTGAATGTATTTTCAATTGAATTGGCAGAGGACTGCACCTAATTCTGCGAGACATGTCGTTTGCAGATTTACTCATCCTTGACTCAACTTATTTTCTGAAAATCTATAACATTTGTTTAATCTAATTAGTTTCTGACCGCAAAACCTTCAGTCACCCGCTAAATAAATATAGTCCCGTTAGTCAGATCAATTTGGTTTTGAACTCTAAATTTATTAAAAGCGCTACTGTGACTACGGTTAGCCAACTGTTACCCCCCCCCCCCCCCCCCAATGTCATGCACCTGAATTACTACTGCTTCTGGTTTTCGGAAACTCAAAAACTGTAGACCTGACATTAGTCCTACTGTAAATAGGCCTGGTAGTAGGTAGAGTTTTAATATACTGTAATTGATACACGCTTTCCTAAATGGTAGATTTTCCCAAATACTCAGCGGAAGCATGAAGCATGATTAATTAAACCCACAAATACCCTGCTCAAAAAGTTCATTTGTTATCATTCTAGGTCATATTATGCAGATGATCTCTCCACTTGACACCCCAATAAATCAGTTATGTGCCAAAGCTTGATTACATAGGCAATGTGCTAGTAGTAGTCCTAGAGTAACTAATCAGTTATTATAGTAAGCGTACGTTTCGTCATAAACTAACTCGTTTCAATGTCGTTTCTTCCAGTTTAATGGGTTTTCTGAAATTGTTTCGTTTACTTATTCAGTATGTAAATTTTTAACGCCTTAAATTATCTTGGGTATTTTTCATGTAGGTTTGTTAGGGTTAGAGTAGGCAAAGCTGGCATTTGTTATAGTGTGGTTGGTATTGTTTATTTTCAAAGTTTATAGACAAATTTAAAGACCTTCGAGGATCTCTTGCAAAACCCCATTAAAAACTAAATTTTGATATCTTTAACGGCTCTATCAGAATGTTGTGAAACCCAATAGGCCTGATAGACGAGGTTCATTTGATGCTGAGAATAGACGAGCAGAGCCCTGAAATAGATTAAAGTAAGCACGATGCGAGGAGGTGAGTAAGACGTTTGTACCAGAGAAGTCTTTGTCTTGAGATTTGGCTTGGCAGAGCCCTCTGCTGGCTGGCCATATTAATTATTATCAAATGAGTACAAGGTTGGGTTAAAGTATTTGACCCACAAAATAGTTTGGGTAAATGTTTCTAGATGAAAATTGATCATTCTGAGTACAGTTGAAACGTGTGCTACTGACGTTGGGGTTACTATGTGATAGCAGAGACTTAAAAAGTTTTCTAATTTATTGCTTATGTTTTGAGCTCGTTTAATTGATTTTAAGGTAAAGGTCAAAATGTTTACTGCACATATAGTGAGACCATTTTTTAGCTCGACCGATGTTGCAGGCAAAAATAAATAGAATACTCCAAAAACTGTCATGGTAATGGTTTCTGTGGTTTAATCAAGCCTAACACCGTTTGGAGCAGCATAAAACTAAAAATATTTTTAAACCATACAACCATAAAACCATTACTAAATATCTCTCTTCTACCTTATCACAAGCACAAGTATAGGCCTACGCCAAAACACGTATACGATGGCAACGTATCATCAACTCTGAATTCATCATGCAGCTGTTCAACAACGTTGTCAGCTGATTTTGAAATGGATTTATGTCATAATGTTAGATATTTTGTTTGTTTATGTGGGAAGTAGCATCAATAGTTATTTATGCAACTAGTGAGCAAAGTGAGCAATTGACTCACTCGAGAGAAATACTTACTCAATGGTTAATCGAGTGAGGCAATTGCACTTTGCACTCGAGTTGCATATTATATTTTTCCTACACTTACAATTAAACAAGTAATTTGTTAGAAACGTAACATATTTTTACACAGAAGGGAACTTTTAATACTGTATGACATTTAATGCCTTCACGTTGCAAATCTGTTAACATTGTCTCACTGATGAGCGAATTGGCCACTTTGCTTTCTCAAATCAGTGAGAGAACATGTACATTGTTAGGTAAATGTAGGAAAAGTAGTTTTTTCCTACAGTTAACGTTAACACTGACAATGTTAACATTGTCTCACTCTAATTACTTTGTCTCACTCCAGATTTGCAACGTGAAGGCACGAAATAGTGAGCGCGTAACATACAGACAAGGTCGTATGCGCGCGAAATACGTTGGCAGCACTGGCTGTAAATCAGCTGGTCAGCTGTTGTACTGTTCACATTAAATGCCATTTAAAAGTTCACTTCTGTGTAAAAATATGTTACGTTTCTTTACCAATTTATTTGTTTTATGGTAACTGTAGGAAAAATATAATGTGTAACTCGAGTGCAAAGTGCAATTGCCTCACTCGAGAAACCATTCCTCATCCGCCTCTGGCTCGTTAAGGATTTCTCTCGAGTGAGGCAATTGCTTACTTTGCTCACTAGTTGCACAAATAACTAAAGGCGGTCAAGTAAAAAAATGGACAAATAACAAAAACTAGTTGATCTTGAGATATTTATCTATGTATGTTTATTGCTATCGATTTGTAAATAATCGAATCTATAAGGAAGTTATTATTTTGTAATATTACAGTATCTGTCCCGGAAATATATATTCTCTGAATCAATTTGTCACGTAGCCTATATAACGTTTCTCAACAAAACTTGCTCCATTGACCCTATTTCATTCTTTGTTTTACCATTGTTAGAAGTTATTTACATTTTTAGTTGTAAATGACAAGTAGCCTACTTTGCGATGGAATGATTCCAATTTATTAATATCTTCTAGTTTGTTTTTTTTTATCGGGGTAGCTTGTTGCCTATTTACTACTGTGGTTATAGTACTGTAGTATGTTTTCTGTGCTACTGTCTAGTTATTATACTGTCTAATCTGTTTAGTTATCACAATACCAGACCCTACTGTGTATAAATGTATGAAAACTGCGTGTTTGAATCATAAGCTTTCAAATTGCTCCGTGAACAGTATGTATTAATATGTGTATGTCTAAATATGTTTCCTTTTTAAATCACTACATCATTAGTGTCGACGTCTACTGGACAAATATGAATACTTTACCATCCTACTTTAATGGTATCTAATCTAACATAAGGTGTTTTGGAACTATGGCAGGCTGATCCGGCTGATGTACCTAGGATTGTCGACGTTCAGGCAAGACTTTATGAAAACCCTCGTAGGCATTCCAATCAGCTGTGTATCAGTTTTAGCTATATCCAGCGCTTAGTCAGTAGTCGCACATAGCCATTATGTGGGTATGAGCTTAAACAGTCACATGATGCAGCCCATTACAGTACTGGAACAATCGGTAGTTAGTCTGAACACCAGACGATCGTTTATTTCAGTGGAAATGAATCAACGGAGATTTATGAATTCAAAGTGCATTATCATTCCAAAACGATTCGCGCGACTTATTTCCTGTAAATTAAGTATTTTTTCAACACAAAATTCTCAACTTAAATATTAACCAAATAGATGTTTTTGCTATTGTTTTACTTACGTCTGGAACTATTTTCTTAATTATTTTCTCACTATGAACTTTCGGTGTTTATAATAAGCACAGCTGGAATTTATTTATTTTTATGCGTAAAAATTTATAGAAGATTGTTGACCTTGGGAAGATGACCGCGTAAGGAAAAAATACTGAGCAATTTTGATTTTACTGACAGAGGATTCGAATGCGATGAAGCAATTCCTTGGATGAACATAAGTCACATAAATTAAACCTAATTGGAAATGTAGTTCAACTAGTTAACCTATCATAGCTTGTCCCCTGTGGTCTGTATGATGGAACCACCAATACTAGAAAAATACTGACCTTTCGAGTACTAGTGCATTCAAACTATTGGCGAGTCTCCAGGTTGATGGAGGGTGAGGAGACAGGATCCACCATACAGATTATAGATGGATTGCTGTAAAGCATCACAAACGTTGGACAATTTTTCGCCAATTTCTTGACGTTGTCATCCCCCAAAATACCAATATTCGACAGTGTACTTTGACTATAGAAGAGCCTACCTTCTAGTTTCAGTATAATCATAGATAAAACCATATGACTATTATAAACACTATAAATAGTTTTTGCGTAGCATATGTAATCTTTGGTATCACTAAATAGTGTTAAAATAGTCAATGATAAAATATACTGTGTTGGTTTAGTGGAAATTTAGTTACTTTGTTTGAAGAATGGAAATTAGTTTACATCAAGAAAATTCTTTTTACCCAGACATAGATTTTATTCAGATCCACTCCTACAATTTGCCAAGATGGCTTTGTAAACATAAAGAAGAAATCATAGGCAGCTATTTTATGTGGTAACTTTAATACAGACAGTCAGGTTGAACCGAATCAGATGAATACCTAGACATCGATATGCATAGGTCTACCGTATTTGCATCTAAGGTATTGATTTAAGGTGTATTTTTGTAAGCGAAAAATTGTCCACCTTCTTTTACTTGAGACGAGTGTAAAATAAATGTTTACCTACCTAACTACGCTGAAGGAAAACATTCCTTTCCTGGGTTTCGTGTTTAATTTCCCTAAACATTAGTGTGATTAAATATTTGTCTGTGTAAAATGTTTGATTTAACTGCATTTATTGAGCGAAGTTCTTATTAATATAACATTGACTGTACCAAGTTATAAACTGAATATTGTTTATACCTACGAAATGTTTTACAATGTGGCCCAAAAATGTTTAATACCATGCTAATTATTTGATACAACTGTACTACTTGTTTCAATTTTTCGTCTATTAGAATATCTTGTATGTTACAAATACTCTTCATTGTGAACTAAATCATTTAGTTTTATTATACACATCAAAGTAAGCGGCTGAGTCTATTTAGAATAATTTATACAATTCATGATACTGTGTAGTCAGAATACGATGAGTAAATGATGAACTGAAACATATTAACAAAGACAAATTAAATAAATCTACATGTCTTTTTCATATTACTTTACTAAAGCTAAAACACTTTTTCACAGTTAGTTACCTATTTAGTGATCAAAGACGACTGCTATACCAACCCTTCATAAAAATATTCGTGGTAAAGATCGAATCAAACTAATGAACGATTAACGATGTGTATATATTTTCCATTTTTACATTACAAAGATGTATAATTTTGAATTTGATACAGTGGATGTTCCTAATGTATGTTAGTCTTGTTACATGAAGTACCCCGTCTACTCTTGAAGACTAATGAACAGATTTTGCCGCCATTAACGCCGCTGTTTCCCAATCCCGCCGGATTTAGCTCGCGTTGGATATTAGGTGATGGAATGTCGAATGTTACATCGTCGTCAAACATCGCGCTCTTGGCTCCCAACTTTGGCAACGTTTGGGGTAATGTATTCCAATCGGAAGCCAACCTTAAGCTATGACCATACCTGAGTTGAGGAGAGTTTGTAGCGTCAGTCACCAATACTCCACAGGTCGCACAGCTCGACTGTTCCGAGCTGGCCTCCCCACTCTCGCCTTTAGTATTTTTAACTCTATAAAAACCTGGCCTAAATAAATTAACTCGCCATTAAATGAGGCGAAATCAGGTCATAAAGCTATTATGCTGGTCACAGGGATTTAGGTCGCGTTCGATAAACATAGTTATTGATCACCGGGGATGATAAAATCGTAGAAACATTAATAATTTCCATATTTTAACAATTAAATTTGTACACATTTTGTTTTTTAATAAAAAATTGTTCATAAGTATATCTATATAAATAAAATTAGAGTTTTGTCTGTACTTTGCTCAGAATTATATACTTTTAGGTTATTTTTACGTTTTATACATTAAAGAAGCAGAAACGAGTCTTATCTCTATTTCTGTCTGTCTGTCTGTCTGTCTTTCCCTTTGTCTGTAACACTCAAGATGGCATTTTACGCAATCTTCTCCGTGAAAACCAGAGTACCTATCAAGATCCAAGTCATTTTTATGTATTCACTGGATTGGCGAGAGTGTCTTTAGTGATTTAAATATAGCCTCACTACTTTGTAAATAAAATTACGGACGTTCAAAAATGCAGTTTTGTGCAATTTTTGCCAAATTTTCGTTCTATCACATAATCGTCTATGAAATAACGAACAGCTGTTCGGATCAAGATTATTTTTTCTAGCTGTCAATGATATGTTTACAAATGTTGTTTACAAATACCGCAACCATTTCGAATCACGTTTTGAAAGCAAATCCCAACCAAGTGAGATTAAAAACGTTTTTCTTACATAACAGATTTAATTAATCGCAAGTGCAATAATATAGTCTAATAGTGTAACCGTAAATGAAATTAAATAACTAGACATCGTCCAAATCGGAACCAGAAATTCTTTGAGTATAAAATGTTTCTTGAGTTTTGACAACCAGAAAGAAGACCTTGAATCATTGTTGTATAGGGCTGGGACACTGAAATGATCGTCGCCAATAGCTTACAAAAAAGGTTTCCACTCATTGACGGCGCTTCAATGGCGGTTGTGAAAAGTGTAAAGTAAAAAATCACAACTGCAGTGGGTGATTGTAACAGAGGTTTAACAGAGGAAGTGCTAAACTCGCTTTTCCAATGTGTCACTTTCTGTTTCTACTCACCGGGTGATGCAATCGCTGGACCATACAGCCAATAGGCCCATAGCTCATAATCTTGGGTACGTAAGCCTACATATTTATTCATAACAACCTTTTTGACGACGATCCTTGATACCGGTACTTTTCCATAGAATACATGGCCTACCTACTTAAGAAATATAATTACAAATGACCAAAACCCCAACATTGTGTGATTTTCGTCACATTTCCTTCTAATGTTAATAGATATACTAATCATTGTTTAGAGAATGCGTAATCTATTAAATAACAAAAAGTTGTTTGGGTAAGGTTGTTTTTTCTTCAAACTGACACCGATAAGTTTACGCTATAACTTTTTACGAGAAAATCCAAAAGCAAGAGATCAATAACCTCGGGACTAGATATTAATGTATTTAATTGGTCGGATGTACTATAGTTCTTAGGTAGGTTCTTACGTAGGTACTGGTTCTTTCCCTTAGAACCGTTGGTAGCTGCTAGAATCATTTTTACGTAGGTACCAACCCATCACTGTAGTTTACAAATTAGTTATCGTTGGTGTTGCACCTTATTTATTAGAGCCGTCCGTATTCAATTTAAGTGATGTCTTAACTCTGTATAAGTTTTGCTTTTTCTGTCTGGATTCCAAATCTTAGCTTACCCGGTATGCTAAGAAAATGATAACCTATTTGAGTAAAACATTTGTAGGGCAAACCATCATGAATTGTTTACGCCTTTATATTGTTTATGTATCAATAGTTCGTGGCCTTTTTTGGATTGTTGTGTGTATGTCTGTTGGTAACGCATTAATGTCCTTATTTCTCAGTGTTTCACGGAATGGACAAGAGCACCTTTGATACTGAAAATGTCAACCGGAATAAAGTGTTAAATGGCGAGGTTGAGGTAGTACTTTAAATACGTTTAAGTTAACCGATGTGGAAAGTAACTTTCAATTATAGGCCTACTTTAGGGCTACGCTTCATGGATCTATAAAACATTTTTTAGTTTAATAATTGGACATATGGACCATAACGATCCGGGTGACATTTAATTGCGAAGCATTTATTTTGGCTTGAACTGTCAGATACTGTATTTGCGAAGGTTTATATATAATAGTTTTGCCAGCATATCTGCAAATATGCAAACTAACTGCTGTTCTTAATCTTAATATAAGAAGGTTTCAACTGACTACTATAAGATCCCCGTGCGTAGAACGGGCACACAGCTAGTTTTACATAACTATGCAATATATACATTCTTATGTAATAAGTATTCATAAGGAAAGTAATTTTTAATACGATAGCCCACATTAAATCCGGAAATATTGGGATTCCATGGTCCGGGAAAAGATAATTATAGTCCGGATTAAATGAAATGAGTTAATCATACTATGAACAAGGTATTGCTATTGTCTGTGCTATTACGTACTATTTATATTGAACTAGCTATTACCCATTTGACTTCATAGGTATTACATAAATTATTGATTGCCGTACCAGTTTTGGGTGGCATTCCGAAAGGCTTTTTACGGTTACTTTCAAGAACAACACTGGACTTAAAGCTGCCAGGGCAGAGCCCTAGTAGAGTATTGAAATAAAAGATTTATGTCCTATTAGCCTGTGGTTATATTGACTCTACTCATGGGAAGAAATCATCTCAATTGGTCAAGTAGTTTTCACGCTACGTTATTGACATACTCCAAACATTTATATATAACATTATTTCCTTCTGTCCAAGTCATTGACTTGATCAGTAATGCACTAAAATTATTAACACGCACATCTATTTCCCAGAAATTCTTTGGGTAAAAACAAACACAATACTTATTTATAAAACCTTTGGGAAAATAAAGCCAATAAGTAGGTTAATTATGCACATTAAATAAATCGCCCACTCACTCAATACCACAAATTATTTATTAAATTAAAAACATAAACATAACTTTAAACAATCCTAATTTGACAGTTCTCATTGTGCATCACAGCTTGCTGCTGATTAGTTCATTTGAATATTGCAAAAACCCCATAACCAACATTTTTCGCAGTTGTGTGATTTCTGCACTAACGATGTATCAATTTGAACGTCACCATTAATATACTAAAAATTTAAAATCGGAAAAATGTTAGTTATAGGGTTTTGAAATAAACGATTCAAATGATCTGTTATCATAAATTCAAACAAAAAGTTAACATTGCTGCATCCTGTTGGTATTTAATTCCTAAAGATTCAGTGTACCAAATTTCAGCGTCCTATGTAAATGAGCAGTAGGAGAATTAGTGATGAGTGAGTGAGTCAGTCACTCAGTAAGTCAATGAGGGCTTTGCATTTTATATGTTTAGATTGTAGCATACTTTAATACTTTTCCATAGACTTTGTCTGTGATTGTAGTTATAGATGACGACGGACAGAGGAGTTCCGTGGACAAGGAGCTGCTTCGCGATTCGCGTGGCCAAACCATGTACAAAAGCTAATTCTGATAAATTGTCCAACGTCCAACGCATATGCCACGTTGCTATTGTTCATGTTATTTATTACATCCCAAATCCAACCATATACGCGTAAAATACTACGTAGAAGATGAAGCTGTCATTATTTACCGCTAACCTTAAAAAAATCATGGATGTGAAATGATCATCTCACGAGAGTTGGATCATCAACACTAAAATCTTAATGAAAATGTTCTTAGGCCCATCAACAGCATAGACAACTCTTCCCTCCGCGTAAGACACCCTAGGTCAAATCAAGATGACCATAAATTATTTAAAGAATTATTAAATGTTAACTACTAAAAAAAAAAACACATTATGTACCAGCTAGTATGGTCAAGTAATCGCATGTTAAACTTCTAATTTTATTTAAATAGGGGATAAGGCTGCATGTTTAAAGTAATATTTTAGTAAAAATCTCATCAGGCACGTGAACATTTGCTTAGCCAAAATGTTGGGTGCGGTGGGCGAGGAAAGCTATATTTAAATTTGATTAAGCTCTAAAATATACTCCCTAAAGAATATAGGTAACATTAAAGAAACAAATCATCCCCTCTAAATTATGCAGGGTGAGGGATGGTTCCTGCTATAAAGTATTCTTTATACTTTACTCTACCAATTATGGTTATGACTGGAAGAGAAGACACGAGGACGATGGACTGCCAGAGGTCCAACCGTGGGTGGAGCGGTTGTGGCATATGGTTAGTTGAGTTGGACGACCTTTTCACGTGGTTCTTGTAAGTAACTGATAGTTTTAGTCATAACTGCACTTGATAGTAAAATCCTATTTCCCCGGTTGAATATAATACTGTCAAGCCTTCCCGACGACACGGAAGGCGGAACACCACACGTTCTTCCACTGCCCACGTTAGAATATGATACACCTGGTACATCTTGGTGTGATGCCCATTGAATCTGATTGTGAGTTCATGATTGAGAGTCAGGACAACTGTGACTGCTGGTTGCACTTTGTCTGAAACACCCTTCAAGCAGATCTAGGGTAGCTGAGTCCGGTTTCGAACAGCCAAAGAAGCTATGTCCGACTTTTACGGCCATCTGTTGACTGCTACACTGGCTATTGATCGTAGACGGGAATTAAAGGAGCG